GTGAAAACTCAATATACCATCTCCCTCTTTTAAAGGGGAGAGACATAAAGCTTGACAAAAAGAGCTAAAATTGGATAAAGGATTAACCCATATAATTCTAGAATTTTTTTCCCCCACCAACTTTTGTTTTCTAAAATGTTATCCCCACCGATAACCCCCTCTTCTAAAAAACAATGATTAAAAAGCAGATCCCAGATATAATCTTGGAACATCAAAGAATGTTACTGTCTAAGATAGCTATCGAATATGGCATATTATTGCTGTATTCATGAAATACTTGTTACATATGTATTTCATACCAACTATCCTTAAAAATCCACCATCTGGCTACAACCACAGAAAGGATGGGCTGTAATTTTCCATAGCTTCTGAATATCGAATGTGCTTTCGGTTTTTCCCCAAACCTAAAACTGCCATAAAAAATTAAGTATTTAAGTGTTCTCTGACATGTTAACTGAAAGTTACCTCAAGGATCAAAAGTAAAATCGAAGACAATTTTAAAGCCCAAGTACCAAGTTGCAGTTCGCTTATTCTCAACTAAAGCATTTTTAAACAAAGTAAAAACCTTTCAGAATGAAGTGAGAAAATAGTTTTAAAAAGTACACTTAAACTTTGAAAACAAAAGTTTGTTGAGAATGCAACATGGATGAAACTCACAAATATAATGTTGATAGAAAGAAGCCAAACACAAGAAAGCATATTGTATGATTCCATATACAAAGAATTAAAACCGGCAAAACTAATCTGTTAGAAACCAGGGTAATAGCTACCTTGTGCGGTAGGGAAGTAGTAAACGGAAAGTAACCTAAGGGGACTTCCAGATGTTGGGAACATTCCATTACTTGAGCAAAGTGTTGGTTATACAGGTGTTCAGTTTGTGAAAATTCAAGCTATACACTCATAATATATCTTTCCAAGAATATTTTAGTTTAATAAAAAGTTTGCTAAACAACACGTTGTTTGTGGGGGCTGATGGCTTGCAAGTTTTTATTTTCTTTAAATGTTTACTTGAGACGGGATCTCACTATTTTGCCTAGGCTGGTCTACTGAGCTCAAGCGATTCTCCTTCGCAGCCTCCTCAGTAGCTGGGATTACAAGCATGCCCTGCCACCTGGAAGTCTTTGTAGGGTGGGCCAGAAGGGTAGAAACCCAGGAAATCCAGGACAGAATTCATGTTCCAGAGTCAGATCAGCAGGGTGGGCCAGCAGGCTGTCTGGAAGCAGGACGGTTAGTGAATTCTCCAAAACTGAAACAGGTTCCTCTTAAGATCCCTTCCTCGAACAGTGTATATTGTTGATATGCATATAAATATTAACAAATTAATCCAGCAACATATAAGAATACACCATAACTAATTGGGGTTTGTAACAGGAATACAAGATAGGTTGAAAAAAGTTAATGTAATTTACCACATTAACAGAATAAAGAAGAAAAATCATATAATCATCTTAATTGATATAGGAAAAGCATTTGACAAAATTCAACATCCATTCATAAGAAAACAAAGAATAGAAAAGGGAATGTCAGACTGGGGGTGGTAGCTCACACCTGTAATCCCAGAACTTTGGGAGGCTGAAGCGGGAGGATCGCTTGAGGCCAGGAGTTCAAGACCAGCCTGGGCAACAAAGAGAGACCCTGTCTTTTAAAAAGAAAGAAAGGAGGGAAGGGAGGGACAGGAAGGAAGGAAGGGAGAGAAGGAAAAAAAGGAAGAAAAGAAAGAAAGAAAAGAATGTCCTTAACCTTAAAAAGAACACCTATCACTTATGAAAAACCTACCTTCGTACTTAATAGCAATGGAAGACTGAATGTTTTCCCCCTAATTTGGGGATTAAGGCAAGGGTGCCTGCTCTCATCACTTCTATTCAACACGTTAATGGAGGTCCAAGCCAGCACGGTTAAGTAAGAAAAGGCATACAGACAAAGGACAAAGTAAAATTGGTGATTCAGAGGGTAGTGACCTATTCAAAAGATAGTACCACAGCTCAGGCCAACTTTACGTCCTAAAAACCTAAGACCTAAAATTAAAAATTTCTTTCTTAGAATGACACAAACCTAAAGTTATCAACTATAGCATCTAATTGCCATACAGTAATCTTGAGACACAGCTCCACATGTTAAATATTTAAACTCAATATCCAATCACATGTAGCAGGAAATCGTTTCAAGTGACTAGTCGGTAACTTCCACTTAGTAAAGTAGTCTTAACTATCTCACTATACTTTAGAATAGGGCATTGGAATCTACCATTAGGTTTTTGAGGGGGCTTAACAGAAAGTGCATTTACAGGCTGTCTTTTCAACAGCAAAAAAAAAAAAAAAAAAAAACCCCGAGAAAGAGGGAAAATCTGATTTCAGACTTGCCACATTATAAGATTCCAATCTCCAGTTTTCAACAGCAAAAAAAAAAAAAAAAAAACAAAGACAATATTGTCTTTCAAAGCTGTCTCCTGGGAAGAACAATCTAAGATTACTACACTGGGCTATAAGCATTTTTAGAATTCTTCTTTTTGAATTTTTTTTTTTACAAAAGCCAGATCATGAGCTACACATATACACACGGATCAATTCCTAACAAAATCATCATTACCAGTGTCAGTGTCCTCTAGCCAAAGTCCATCAGGAACACACCTATAGTTAAAAGGTGGGTTTATTACCTTCTGGAGTGAGGGAGAACACACAACATGAAGAAACGTGGAGTATCTTGGTAAGCGGGTGTCATAAAGAATCTACATATTAATAAGATTTGGGCTTTCACTGGGTAATTTGAAGGAGGTTCTAAGGAAGGAGAGGTTTATTCTAAATTAAATGCCATCAGAAAGTGGGGCTGTTGACCCCCAACAGGCATTCACCCACTAAATTCTATGATTGGGCATCTCAATAAATCTTATATTGCGGGGGGAGATTAAAACAAAGATAAAGCTATAACTGGTAAAGAAGTAGCAGTCATTTGTTACTCATTTTGGCCGAGAGAGGATGTTTGGGATTTTCTAGATGATACAGTGATCTTGTTCTTGTCTGTATTTAGACAAAATTATGAAGTGGACTTTCTTTGCCTCCTTTTATCAGTCTTAGGGAAACCTAGTCTAAGGTTGGTATCCTATGAGATTATTTGAATAACACAGCCTACCTGGGGGTGCCAGGCCAGCTTCTGAATGCCAGAGGCTGCCTTTTTTTTTTTACTTTCTCACTAGCTTAAAAACCTATCACGAAGGCCGGGCGCGGTGGCTCACGCCTGTAATCCTAGCACTCTGGGAGGCCTAGGCGGGTGGATCGTTTGAGCCCAGGAGTTCGAAACCAGCCTGAGCAAGAGCGAGACCCCATCTCTACTAAAAATAGAAAGAAATTAATTGGATGACTAAAAATATAGAAAAAATTAGCCAGGCATGGTGGCGCATGCCTGTAGTCCCAGCCACTCGGGAGGTTGAGGCAGGAGGATCGCTTGAGCCCAGGAGTTTGAGGTTGCTGTGAGCTAGGATGATGCCACGGCACTCTAGCCAGGGCAACACAGTGAGACTGTGTCTCAAAAACAAAACAAAAAAAAAAACCTATCACGAGACCAGGCTTCAAAACACTTTTAGATGCTCACTATTAACATTTAATCTACCTTTACAAAACAAAAATGCTAAGTTTAAAAAAATGTCACTAGTAACTACAAAATAGGGTCCTAGGCATTTTGCTCAACAAAACTCAAATCGCTTTTGTTTTTTCCAGTATGTTTGTTTAAAAGCCACCTCAATATCTTTGTATTATGAGCCATGATATATCTGAACCATAACATATCTTAAAGTTTTGATTTTAGAAATTTTAAATCTGATTATTTTCATAAAATGCTTTCGAATTATTTTTTAAAGTCCTCTGATTACTATCCCAATTGACAGATCTCAATAACAGCTGTTATCTAAATAGTTACACTTGTTACTCACCAGCTGTGAGTCTGAGGAAGGAAAAATCTTGAATTTTGTACTATTTTCTTTGATCTCGTTCATCAGTTCGGTAAGAATGTAAGTGTGTGCCAAGTTCTAAAAGAAAGCAAAAGTAAAGTCTTCAGATTCAGTCATAATATGCCTCTGATTTTATGGAATACTCTCTTAAAGTTTCAAATTTCATCTAACATAGCAAAAATGTCTGTTTCAAAAAATATTTTTAAAATTTAATTGAATATATTTTATATTTAATAAATGTCACCATTACTAATAGAGTCATAGTAAAATGCACAGAAGACTTTTCAGAAGCACTGTGTGAAAAGAAGGTATATGTATGACAATGGCCAAAGATAGCTTAAAGTTCCTAAAACAAAAAGAAAACAAATTTCTAGAGGAACATTTAGTAGTCATTTGACAGTCTACACGTGTGTCAATAACCATGTAAATTAAAATAATCTTTTACATTTTACAAAGTTTTCTGATGACCCTTACCTGCATGATTGCATTAAAAAAGCAAGTATTTCCTAAATTTGTAATCCCCTTTACAAATGGTAGACTTCCCTTCTTTATTTTCTCTATTTCACATTTTTCTTCACCAAGTTTCATGATTCTGGAAAATGCACCTACGAGTTAGAGAAAACATAACTGACATAAGATGTAAAATTAAATATCTGTCATTTGACATAATTTAAATATGTTATTTAAAATTAAATCAGATTGTCTCCCTGAATCAGTGTTCCTGAGGGGCAGGAATACAAATGTCTTTGGTTTTATATTTTATTGCTGGAGCAACTGATTTAAATTCATTTTAATATATAGATCCATATCTAATATTACATTACAAAATAAATTTCAGGTGAATTAAATTATATGTAAAAAGAATAAATTCAAAAAACAAGTATTAATAGAAAAGGTCTAGTTTCTAAATACCATTCCCCGCTAAAGGAATAAGGACTCCTTGAAGAATAGGCTGATTGTGTGTGGGGCAGCAAAGATGCAAAATGAGCATATAACATCATTACAGTGCCAGAGAATGAGAAAGTGCTCAAAAAAAATGATGAAAGTAAGTCAAAATACACAGGCACTGTATTGAACAGGTTCCCACTGGTCCAATCTGGGACAATTTGACCATCAAAACAAACAAGGGTACTATAATCGATTACTACGCACAGAATGAGTCTGATTAATAACAGATTTTTAAAATGAAGGAAAATGAAGGGGGAGGAACTTCCTTACAAGAGAATGTCAACTAATAGAAAAAATGATGGAATTAGGAAAATCACCATCTTACAGTGGCAATTTTTTTTTGTATTATTCTTATAAGTTTGCTGTGTTTGAAGTTGCCAAATTTAAAAGTTTGAAAAATTAATAGAACCAGATTATAATATAAAATTAAAATACCTAAGTGTAATACAAAAGTAAAATATGTAAGTGCATATTTTGGGCTTACCAATTTGTATATGCAGGCTTGAAAATTATCAGTTCATGTTTAACAACATAAAAACAAAAAATAATTCCTAACATTTACAAACTGACATGGTTGATTATTTCTATTTAACAGATCACTCTGAATTAAAATCATTACGATTTGAAGTTTGACAGGAAATTTCCAAATTCTGAACTTTTTTGGTTTTAACTAGATGTTCTTTTAAATTCCTTTCAACCCTCAGATTTTACAGTTCTTTAAAATTACATGTTTTATTCGTCTAATATTGATGTGCAGCCTTGCATTACTAACTTGTTTGTTTGGTTGACTGATGGAGAACAGGGAGTATTTCTTAGTACTGCTCTTTATTCCAGAGATATAGCACTGCAGAGAACATACATAATACAAATTCAACATAAATAAAAATCTACAAGATTCAACAGCAGATCCAGTAGAAGTTTAGCTTATGTCTCTGATGAGTTTTTTTTTTTTCCCCTGTAGAGACGGGGTCTCAATACGTTACCCAGGCGGGTCTTGAACTCCTGGCCTCTAGTAATCCTCCCACCTTGGCCTCCCAAAGCGCTAGGATTACAGGCATGAACTACCATGCCTGTCTGATGAATCCTTAAGTGGAAATAAATTAAGATATCTGCCCCACTTCTCTAAACAGCACTGAAGGAGATGAACCAGGGTGGAGGTGGCCCTCTTCTAAGGGACAGGAGTAGAAAGCAAACCCTATAAAGAGAAGCTTCAGTCTTAGGTAAGGGTGATTCAAATAAGGCTGGACTAGGCACCTGTGACTTTTGCCATAGAGAAAGCATCTAGATACGTGGCCCCAGTATCCAGAGGGGTTAACATATTTTTTCATAGGGTTTTCATAAGTGATAATTGAGCTAATAATTGCAAAGCACCTGGCACAGTAAGCACTATGAATGTGTTTGAAAAACAGCTCTGAGACCCTCCCCACCACCCAAAAAATGTTACTGTGCCAAAATCTATATCTTCATCAGCCAACCTTCACATCTATTGTTTATCTGCTCTCATATTTTTTCTTCTCTTCATTCATATCCTATACATTCTAGTATTTCCCCCTCTCAGGTTTATCTTTTATTTCTAATTGGATTGTCTGAATTGCTAATATGCATTTTGCTTTTGTGGTTTTCATAATTTCTTAGCTTTTCTTTTTAACATGTGAAAACATCTTTTCCCATTGAGAAAAATGAATTGGTGGGTTCTAAGATGTTTCTTTCGTTAAGCAAATCTATTTCATGGAAAAGATTTTTCTTCTAAGTTCTAACAAATTTTCTCTTATCCTGTACTGCAAAATTTTTTTTAATAAACCCTCTTAACTGTTTTTTTCTGCCTTTATTCATGTTTGCTTATTCTTTAAACATTACCAGTTGCTATTGCTTATCTGTTGTTCAGTACTAAGGAGTTGTTTTTAACTCCCAATTCCAGAATCCTGAGTTATAGCAGAAAAGAGCAAGCAAGATAGGTCTCTCTTTCCTGTCCTCCAGATATTAAAATAAGCGATACGAAATAAACCCCACACTAGAGCTTAGAAGCAAAGATCAGCACAATCAATGCAGCGGGTCACTGAAGTACAGAAACAAGGCATGGAAAAAAGGAAAAAGGGGAAGAGGCCAGACAGTATTCAAACCTGCAAGTGAATAGAAAAGCAAACAAAAAAAAGCCAGTCAGTACTTAAACACTATACAGTAAATAGGAACCCCGATATGGATCCTGGCTGGGTCTGCAGACAGAACAGTCTGCCTCTTGTTTATATCTGAGATTCCAACTAGAGCCTAGAATAGGAAGGTTTCAGACTTTCATTATAGCTGGTGCCAATAGATGGTTTCACAGTGATTTTTAAGAGATTTTAAAATGGAAGAGTAACTAAATCCAAGCATTACTCCATCTTTTCAGGCAAGGCTATTAACTCAGATTTTATATTTACAAAACTCAGTCTCTGACAGGTTAAGTGATTTAACCAGAGTCACAATGATAATCTGATTATTAACCCATTATCATTTTAACACCTAAATTCTCTTCAGTTGTTTATGTACAATGAGAAGAATTACAAAAGACAGCAGGGCAAGATTCCTCCAGATTTGGGTATATGCAGCCTTGAACAAATATGACTCCTCAAAAGTAGTTCTTTTACTTAAGATTCTGTATAGATGTTGCAATAATATTTTGCTTATTAACATGAAAACAGAATGATCGAAGGAAATAAAGTATAACTATATGTAACTATACAAAATATACATAAATTATTTGCTTAGGAAAATACTCCCAGAAATATTTTAATCTTGCAAAAACACAAAACATTTTAAAAACCATAATATGCAAATGACTTATGTATCTGTACCACATTTATCCATCAGTTTTTGAAACATCTGGGAAAGCATCCCAAAGTAAACAATGTTCATAAGACCATCTGGACAAAACTGCAGGCAAAAAAAAAAAGCATAAACATATGGAAAAACAGATTTTCCCCTTCCCTTCAGCGGTGAGGGATGACAAATGTCAAACCTAGATATATCCACGCTTCACTGTGTGATGCTTTTCAGCACCACCTGGCTCTCCATGCATAGCCACCAAATATGGACAGCACTGCCAGAAAGAACATATCCACAGGGCAATGGCAATAAAGCAGTTTATTTTATGGTTAAATAGTCACTTCACACAAGTGGCAAGGATCTGTTTGTTGACTTTTACATGTTAGTCTGTGAGAAAATATTCCAAATTAACTACACTATTAAACAGATTAGATAATTTAACTAGAAAATAGAATAACATTTTCTAAGAGCTATTTAAGTGTTCCATTTAAAATAAAAGCACAAGTTTTTATTTTACTAAGTAGCACACTTACAAAATGTAACAATTTAAATTCAATTGATTTATCAAATGTCTACTGTGTACCAGGTACTATATTAACCACTATCTATAATTATTTATATTTAATTTTTTTATGACTTATGACTGGAGTACAAGGAATTGATACATAGTGAACAGCACAGAGTCCTGAAGGCTTAAACTTATAACATAACATCTCAGTAAAACCTTACATATTGTAAATTTAATAAGAGACTGTCAGCTGAGAGTTTAAGATTCTAGTTTGAAACAGGGGTGTCTGAATCAGTCTCTCAGTTATTTGACATTCAAGCAGGTGTGTGTGTGTCTTAATAAAAAGCAATTTGTAACTTCTAATGAAGAATGATTTTGGACATTTTGTTTTTAAAGACAACAAAGCTTGCTCAATCATTTTAGATCATATTCATTTTAAGAACTCTCCTTCATAAACAGAGAGCCAAATACACTAAGGAGTGAACTTTAAGATGTTTTGAAGCATAATATAGGTAAAAGGACAAAGCTGTAACAACAGTAACAAAAAAGGTAAGATAAGCTATACAAAATTTTGATTATCATTCATTCGTGTTCTCCTCAAGTTCCACCTGCACCTATAAAAAAGTGGTACCCATAATTAGAAAAAGTAATCACAGAATTTCAAAGTTGGGTTATTTTATTAAAAGGGATTTAATTTACTCTACTTATCACCTCTATATTACCAACACTATCATCAGATATTCCTTTATATAATAAAATAATATAGACCCAGAATGCAAAGAAAATTGAGAGAAAACTTGGGGTATTCTAGCTAATTTTTTTTAAAGCTTTTATTAATATATCTCTGTAATTTACCTTTAAGCCTACAACTGGAGAAGTACTCAAAGAGCAGCTGGTTAATAGAGGAAGCCTGATAGGTTTTGTATATACCACACGCCTTGTAAGACAGAAAACTGCTGAAGCACCAGCAAAGCAAAAAAATAAAATTCACTTGTCTAACACAGTCTAAAAAAGTAATCTTAAGAATTACCTCAAATTTTTCTACCATAAAAATGACTTCAACACTTAAACACTACAACTATCTTTTTTTAAAAAATTGAGTTTAAGGATATTAAATCATAAATATGTTTTTAAAATCTTAAAGTACCAGCAAATTTTAGGTGAATATCTTTATAATTTTAGATAACGAAAACAAAGCATAACTCCAAAGGCTAAAAAACATTACAAAAAAGACTGACAAACCTGGCAACGACGACATTAAAAATTTCATTTTGGCAAAACAAAATTATAAACAAAATAAATATGGAAAAGTGGGCACTGTTGTCCACTACATCTTTTGTATAATCT